GCTCGACGAGGCAGTAGGAGGTTAGCTAACCGTAAATCATGTCCAAACCATCTCAACTGATGAAGTTTCATTACTTCATCTATTGACCTGTCATCCTTAACTAGCACCCCTTTTCTAACGACAGCATTGCTTACTCGGTTGTCCCACGATACTCGAGCAATGCTTCAGAGACACTTATGATCGAAAACAATTATTCTACGAATATCTTCTACTCTGACTGGCCATGTTTCACAGACATAAGTAGGACGGAGCGAACTACTGAGCAGTACACTCGTCCTTTAGTCAGCAAACAGATATCTCGCCAACGCCATAAGTGATGCAGGTTGGCAAAAGCCTATCGAGCTTTCTCTATCTGTGCTGAGATTTCGTCACACACCAGGTCATCGGCGCTGATGAAACTCCTGACATAAGTGAAGCGGTCAACACGTTCGATTACTTCACTCCCTATCACAAGTTCAGTTTTCAATGCGACCCAATTCAAAGCAACATTTTGCATTTCGAAGGTGAGGACCGCATCCTGAACATACATTTTGTCAGCGTCCTCACCAAGTAGGACAATGTCATCGGCATATTCTAAGTCAATAAGCGAGCCACCCGGTAGAAGGTCTACTCCTGAAAATTCAGACGAGGATAAAGTTATTTCTAGGAGCATGTCTATGATAAAATTAAACAAGAATGAAGAGAGTGGACATCTCTGACGGACACCAATTGAGGTAAAGAATTCTGGTGAGAGATCGCCATAAGCTCTCACTCGACCAGTGGTGTTCGAGTAGAGAGCTTGTATAAGGTTAATGTACTTATTTGGTAAACCTTTCAATGACAGACACTGCCACAGAACCTCACGATCCACTGAGTCAAATGCCGCCTTAAGGTCAAGGAAGACAACTATTGTAGGACGCCTAAATGTGTGTCTGTGTTCTAGGAACTGTCGTAGTGTGAAGATGTGGTCTATACAAGGTCCAGGTCGAAAACCAGATTGGTTTTCTCGAGTTTGCTCTTCACGAGCTTTCGTTAGGCGGCGAAGTAACATTGAGGCCAATATTTTAGAAACTATAACAGTGAGACTTATTCCCCTGTGATTGTCACAAGAAGACTTCTGTCCTTTCTTATAGATTGGGACAATCAGTGATTGAGACCAGTCGGATGGGATTACGTCCAGTTCCCAGATTCTACCTAAGATTTCAGTCAACCTAGCTGCTAAACATGGATCACCATCCTTAAATATCTCAGGAGTCAGTCTATCAGGACCTGCAGTTCTCCCTCGCTTCAGATTTCCTAACGCTTTCTCAACTTCATTAAGACTAGGGGGACTTAGGTCGATTTGCCATTCAGGATGACTGGAGATCGTGGGTAACCGAAGAGTGGCTCGAGGCCAGTTGAACTGATCCCTGAAGTGTTCTGCCCGTCGATCCAGTCTCCTGCATTGAAAATGGATAATAGGACCATCCTTTTCCGAGATAGTCTCACTCACATTCGGGTTCCTAATACCGGTTTCCTTGATAAGTTGGAAAATTTGTCAACTGTTGCCTATCGCCTCTGCCTTTTCCATCGCTTTTGCTTTCGCCACCCACCACTACTCACGGTCGTTGCGCAGGTTTTTTATCAGCCTGCATGTTTACGTCTATATTAAGTTCCTGATTGCTTGTTCTCGCTCGTTCTTCCAGTGAGTACGATTCAATCTCTATTGTTGTGAACATGTCTTACTGTTTACTGACGGACTCGCCCTTCTGCCGTGTACATCAACCGCAACGACGAATTTCTTGTAATTAACAGAACCTACACATGACGAGCTAGTAATATACTATTGGTAGTGCAGTTTTCTGGTCACTTCCTTTAGCTGACAATCATTCCTCTAGTGTACGATTATTTGGTTTCGT